AGAATTCCATTTGAACCTCCTGTCAATCGAGGTTCTCAGACTGGGTTAAAGCATTAAGCATTCACTGTCCATTACAGTAACATATAAATCTGGGCTTGCCAACTTCCAGGTGTTGGAATTCCAACAACATCCGTGACAAAAATAACGAAGAGTCAATAAAGATATGTTGCAAAATCATTTACTGTAGTAATTCTGTAGAAAATTCCCTTCTATTATCTCTCGCACACTAACGAATGCTGCGCAATGTAAACATTTCATTTCACAATATTTGCTTTATCTGAGCATCTAGCAATCACAATTCTTATCAATTACTACTTATCAACTCTTGAAGGAAACATTGCATGTTGACTCTAATAATGGATTAGAGAGTCAACAAGGACCGTTTCCTTCAAAAGTGATTGTGATTGCTACACACTCAGATAAAGCAAATATTATAAGCAATGAGGTATTTGCTTATCTACCAAAAATTAGGTTTTGATGAAAATACCACATCCTCTGTTCAAAAGAGAGAAAAATTATCTGGCACAAAACAATATGTCACCAGAAAAAAGAGAGGCAAAAAACCTAGTCACTGCACATTGATATATGTTAAATCTGCTTTCTTTATAATTGCTTTGGCCTTCTATTGAGTCTCTACATAACTTCTAAAAAATGACAAATGTCAAAAACAGATTAAAATTGGTTCCTGTCAGCTGGCTGTAATCTAAATCGGCAGAATATTGCCCAAAAAACTTTGGAAGTGCCTTTGAAAGAGAGACCAAGACTGATTAATGTCTTTAAAGTCTTTCAGAGGCTTTCAGAATAAATAGGTCTACTAAGCCCCTAAAAGTTGTTCCTTAGCATTCTAGGAGCTTGTATCATGATTGAGGCCTCATGGGACAATTTAAATCTGAACAGTCAAATGATAGTTTAAAAAGGGGAAGACGGTACTTGGGGTGTTTTGTACAGGTGATGCCTGGCTTTGGTGGCAGCTCCTGGCACATGTTATATTTCCACTTGAGGTGGTAATTATTAAGGAAAGCAACTTGAGGTAGTAATTAAGGAAAGCAACTAGATTGAGTTGCAGTTAGAAACAGTTGTGTGCTCAGTCTAATTTACCTTAATGACTGAATTGTAGTTCTTTGGGGGCTTTGGGGGATGCTAATGCATTTCTTCCTCAACTAGGCCTCAGAGGAAGAGAGATACGTTGATCTGGCTTAGCATCAACAACTAAAGTCCATCTTCTCTGCTGACACAACGCCTGCTGCTGCTTGGTGAAGCATAGAAGTTTCATCCTCTCTAAAAGTGCAGTAAATCCTTCAAAATATTTTTAGTGAAGAGAAAACAAACATTTTCCTCCCACACAAGGCTCTGAGGACTGGTAGTGATATAATTATATGCACTCTCACACACATGCACAGCAGGAGCAAGAATCCTATCAGTCTCATTATATCCCTAATGATAGGTTTATACAGCACTATTATATCTCTGAAGTAAAATTTAAATTCACTTCTATCAGCAACTGTTTCTGTGCTTGTGGCAATACATGTTGCAGTAAACGAAAGAAGATTAGGCCACTTGATCATGGTAAACATAATGGCTGGGAGATGGGAGAAGTAGGTTAGGAAGCATTGGAAAATGGAAGAACACATGGAGGAAAGGGTACGTGCATAGACAAGGGTGCATGTAACAGGAGTATCTCCTAAACAAGCCCTATTGAGATCACTGGGAGTTGAACAAGCACCAGCTTATTTTTCTGTTTTATTTATTTACTAGTAATAAGGCCCGTTGCGGAAATAAATGCAACAAACTCTGGAAAGAGGGTCTGGGCGAGTGCTCCGTCCTGCAGCAGTCACTTATATCCTTCCCCTCCCTGTCAGCTCCGGTTAAGCACTGTGCTAGACTACCGCAGGATGGGAGCATCGCTGAGGCGACTGCTGCTGTGGCTGGGAGGCCAGGGCTTGCCGTGGATGGGATGGTGGGCCTGCCACCCCTCTTCTGCTGAAAGCCGTTCGCCATGGCTTCCGGGCTGAAAGGCACCTTGTCTTGTGCTCTTTGGAGGCAAAGCTGAAGCAAAACCCACCATAGATGGGCAAAAAGGGGAAGCTTGGGGCATTGGGGAGGGGGCGGCATCCCAGACTGTGGTCTCCCATGGCCGCTCCCCGCCCTTTCCCTCACTCACTGCCTCTTTCTCAGACCAGCCAAACTTTTCTGCCGCCTCTTGGAAGGAGCACAAGGCCATGCGAAAATGTGCAAGGCCGTACAGCACCTGGTTGGGGAGCCGGCCTCGAGGGGGTGTGTTTGTTTTTGTCCCATCTTCTGCTGCCTCTGCCATGCAGGCGCAAAAAGGTGGGCGAAGCATCTCCCCACCGGCCCTGCCCTGGTGTCCCTTTTCCTGCATGCCTGAGGGGTTTTCGGGGGGGGGAGTCTGGAGATGGGCCACTTTGCAAAAGGATGAGGGTGCTGGGGAAGGAGTTGAAGGAAGGCAGCAGCTGCTGCTGCTGCTTCTCCACGGCGGGGGTGACACAGCTGTTCCTGGCCCTGGGCTGCTGCTACCTCCAGGTGGCTCAGCCCTACAACCTGGAAGTAAAGAAAGGGGAGCCATTTAAAGATGCCTCCCCAATCAGTCTTTGCTTTCCCACCTTGCTTGCCAAGGCTGGCTGGCTATGGAAGTGAAGAGAGAAGGGGTTTAAAAAGTTTAAACCCCTTCTCTCTCCATTGTACACTATGGGGCCATTGGGTACAATGGAGAGATTGTGTTGCATCTGTGGTGTGACTCCAAAGAAGGGGTTTTACACTTTTAAATCCTTCTTTCTTGAGTCACACCACAGGGGCAGCATGACCTCCATTTTATCCTATGGCCCCATGGGATACAATGGAGAGAGACCTTTTAACCCCCTTCTCTCTTCTCTTCCCCAGCTGACCCACCTTGACAGGCTGGCTGGGGAGGGGAAGTGAAGGGAGGGAATTTAAAGATGTCTCCCCAATCTGCCTTTGCTTCCCCAGTCGGCCTGCAGCACAGGGTTACCTAGGGTAACTCAGGGGAGGGAGAGCAGGTCAGCTTGGAAGTGGAGGGATAGCGAAACTGGCACTCTACTGGCAAGCCGAATATCACACTGCAGTGATAACTAGGATTTGGGAATATCAGCATTTAATGATATTTTTTCGGTTCGGTTTACCCGAACCCAAAAAATACCACTCTCCCCCCCCCTTGCACACCCCTACCCTCTATGTTCCACCACAACTGCTTAGCTCCTTAGAGCAGGGCTTTCTGCAAGTGCCAGCCTGCAAATGGACTAAAATCAACTACTCCCCATACATGTTGCATTCTCCGTTGTGGCATTCACCTTATGAAATGGCTTGCCTGATGAGGTCAGGAGGAAGACTCCTAGTCTCCTGGGTTTCTACATGCTATGCATATTCAAAAGGGCTTTCCTACGCTGATGATAAGGCTGTGTCGTAAGAAACTCATTCAGAAAGCTACTTGAGTAAAGAGTTAGGCAATGTGGTCTATACTATGCTTTATAGTTCATACTGTCTATTGTTGTAAGTAGGATCCTGTCATGTATTTATATTTATTTATTTATTTTTCATATTTATACCCCGCCCTCCCCAGTGGGCTCAGGGCGACTTACAGGGGCAAGGAGACCTTGCCATAATAAAAACATAGTATACATAATAGCTTAAAAACAATACAATACAGCTTAAAACATCCTAAAATTAGAACAGTGGTGCTCAATGGCTCCCCGATAGATGGCAAATCAGAAATGGCAAATCAAAGATGGCAAAGATGGTAAAGATGACAGATCAAAGGTCCAGAGTTCCCGGTGATTATTTCCCACGGCTTAGGGCTTCTTTGCATTATTCAAAAGTTATAGATGTTTCGTCAGGGCCTCGTCAATCATGGCGGTGGTGGTATAGTAGGGCGGCGGCTCCTACTCAAAGACCTGGCAGAAGAGCTCCGTCTTGCAGGCCCTGCAGAACTGCATAAGGTCCCGCAGGGCCCGGATCTCCCCTTGGAGCTCATTCCACCAGGTAGGAGCTGCCACCGAAAAAGCCCTGGCCCTAGTTGCAGCTAGTTTGATGTCCTTGGGGCCTGGGATTGCTGGTAAATTTTGGGCCCCCGACCTTGGTGCTCTTGGGGGAACATATGGGGAAATGTATGTAACAATGGGGAAACAATGTAAACTTTGCATTGTTTATCATGTCATATTAATACTTCTGTTTTGCTTCAGTTCTGTTTGTTTCTGGTTGGTTCCAGATTCCTACAATCCAAATCTATGCTTGTCTATTGGATGTCCCATCCTGTTGATTGTACTGACTTCTTCTGTGTAATCCTCCTTGAGTCCCAGTGAGACAAACTATAAATAACAGATATAAATTTTAAAAATTAATTCCTTCTGACAATGTTACAGTGCACTCAGTTTTTGTGGTTGCCATCTTAAACCATCTTTTGGTGTATTATTCCATCTTCTTTAGAACTTGTTAGCCACTGCACCAGTTCTACTGTTCTCTTCCCTGTTTTAGCCTCTGGCACCTGGCCTATATTCCTGCCATACTTAATACCCACTATATGTAATCTGTCAGTAACTTCCCCAAGTTAATCATGGTAAGTCAGCTATGGTTACATTCATTTCCCCAGTAAACTGATGGTAAATTTAAAGCAGGAAATTTGCCCCAGTCCCTTGCAAAATATCTAACAGTACAACCTTATGCAGAGTTACTTCAGTTTGAGCTCACGGATTTCAATGGGCTGACTGTGTTTAGGATTTCATTGTAAATGTGGCTTGGTTTATATGGTCTGAGGACAACCAAAAGGTTGATGAGCTGGATTATGAGGAGCTGGATGCTTCATTGGGTGCAAAAAGCTTTTCATTAGGGCTAATGTATATTGAATTAAGTATGCAATTAGATTAAGTGTATTCATCAGGGTGGTGTTTTTTTAATAAATGGTTTATTTAATGTGATTGTGCTTTGTTGAGTAGCACAGTAATTGGATATCTCTTTTCTTATAGGACAAGCTTGGCTGATAAAAGATACATGGGACATATAAACCATTAGAGATCAAAAAGAAACATTGCAAGAACTGTACAGGTGAGATGTTTGAATTACTCCTTCTTTGTATAATGCATTATTCCTTTTCAGTAGTTGTATTGTTTCTACTTAAGAAAGTATAGAAGCTTCATTCTTACTTTCCAAGAGATTCAGAAATCACTGAAGTATTGCCATCTAATAAGTTAGATTTTTCCCCATTAAAGGCTAACGTAATCAGTGCCAGACTGAATAAATGTATAGCACACATTGGCATGCACATGGTGGATTTTCTGTCGTAGAAAGTGAAAACTGTTGTTCTGATTTGGTGTTGTTTTTCATTACAGCTTCGGTCTCCCCCATCATTAAAATTGTGGTGGTGCCTCCCCTGAATCTTATCTGTCATCATTTATTTGATTGCCTATACATAGATGTTCTGTTCCAATAGCCTTCCAGTTTTCTTCTTAGAATTTCTGTGATCCCACCAGTAAGCCTAGACTAGCCTGAGAGCGTAGAGCCCCAGCCTTTGGCATGGACTACAGAACACTGTTACCCTACCCAGTTTGTCTAGTTCAGGTCACTGGGCAGTTTACCTCATCAGTGGCTTAACCCAGAGGTACATACATGAGCCTTCAGAAGTCTTTACTATAAACTTTACTATAAACTATTGGGTGTCTTTACTATAAACTTTAATTGTAGAAGATATTGTGCTATTTTGTATTGCTTTCTTTAATTGCCATTCTAAGCTTGGTTCCAAAATTTCAGAACCCCATTTTGAGGCCAAGATTTAAAAAGTCTGTTCTCCCGGTGTGTCCACCCTCTGTTTAATGGTATGGGAAATCTGAATTTCCTGTCTATGTTTGACACTCTCAGTGGCAACCCAGGAGCCCTTCTTAGTTCAATTAATAAAATTAGTTTCACATGCATTGAGGTTTGCTGGAAGGATCTTCCTTTCCTCCTGGACAGTCCCTAGGTGTGAAAATGAAGTTACCTGTTTATCTAGTTGAGGCTCTGTCATTCAGAGATGATTGTTCAAAGTAACTTTATTGTAACTTACTTCTGTGATTGGCTAGCTCACTTTTTTCTATTGATTAAAACAATGGTGGTGGAGAACTTGTACATAGTATAAGATTTCAGTCCACCTGAAATGTACGTTGCTTGTCTTGTTAACTAAAGAGGAAGTTGGATAGAAGAAAGTTGGAAGTGTTTAGTTGCAATGAATATACTTCACTAACTTCCTGTTTGTTCTCTTAAGCTGAGAAGCCACCTGGTTGAGGCGCTATTAGTTTCAGAGGCCATATTAGAAACTGATTGAGAATAAAAGTCAGTAAGCACTGACTCTGCCTACAAATATACCTGGTATTAAACAGGGAAAAAAATGCTTATAGTTTTCTGCTTTCAACCTTTACGTATATATCTGATTTGCCTTTTATAACATCTTTTACTTTTTAAAATATAAACTGTGCCTTCACCCTCTGTGTACTTATGATCATGCTTTGGTTACAACCAACTGGTTGTTTCCTGTGATTTCTTTTGGTTCCTTATAGAAAAATTATAAAAAGTATTCTTTTTTTTAAGAAAAATATTTATTTCCTTAAATTGATACAACTAATTCAATCAAATAGCACATATCTCCAATTTTAAAAAATGGAACAGAGGTAGGGTTAAAAATGAGAAAGCCTTACAGTTATAGAAAGTATTCTGGTGGCTATTATAAGAGCCAGATAAACATATTCAAGTTATTTCCTAAAGTTCCACATGGCACCAGACTATTTTTTTTTTTGTTAAG